AATAATATTACAAAAAAAAAAATTAAATTAAAAAACAATAACTGAAAAACGAACATAATTCAAAAACACAAAGGAAAAATAATAATTATTGCCACCCTGTGCTGCTGCCTCTCCAATGCGCCTTGATTTGTCTGCAATTATGCCGTTACAATTACCTACCTGTCCGCGAGCACCAACACTTGACATTACCAAGCAGTGAAAGCAACAACATTTTTTTATGCCATTATGTTATATAAATATGATAAAAGAAAAATAAAATAAAATTCAAATTAAGTTGCTTAGTTACAATCGCATGTAAGTTAATATTTTATACAAACGCGCACACTTAGTTAATTTTTTGTTATATTAATTATGATTTATACTAAGAATGATTTTTGTACTTTTTTGAAAGCATTGCAGGAAAATTTCATCAAGCAGTAATTACTTAATCAATAAAAATATTTTTTGAAAAAGAAAAAAAAAAACAACAACAAGCATAATTAATTGTGAGACCTTATAAAACATACATCATACAAATATAAAATAAAAAAAAATTAGTATTTTAATTATATACATCCAGTTAGCTGTTTTACCTACATACATACAAGTACATATATTATGTTTATATGCTTAAAGTTAAATACCTAGCTAAGATAAAGTTAATTTTATTTTTTTTTTATATTTTTACATTTGATTTGTATTTTCGTGGATACTTTAAAGGGCCACGCGTCGATGCGTTGTCACGTAAGTGAGCGAGCGAGAGCGAAAGGGAAAACGAGAGAGAGAGAGAGTAAAGAAGAAATAATGTATATGTATAGCAAACGAAAATGGTTGAAGAACTAAGGAAATTATATGTATTAATACTATTAAAATGGTAAAATATATCACATGTGTATATTATATGTACTTAATTTTTCAATGTTGTTGTTGGTTTTATTTGCTTCATACAACGAGGAGTTGCGGCTTTGCGAGTGAGCGCAGTGGAAATCAATTGTTCTGGCGGTAGAAAATATTCTTCAAAAATTTGGCAGAAAACTGCTGAGTTGACTATCCTATCTAAAGCTACAAAAACATTCAAGGTATGCAGCTGCTTAGAGACGGTAATTCCTGGCGTTGTAAGCTGAGCATCAGCGATTTTTATATATGGAGTAATTGCTTGGGCACCGAAAGCATTGCAGACTTCAACTATCAAAGTAGCAAAGACTTACCTGCGTCTGCGCCTCTGGGGCATAAAGATTTAGACGGCAATGAGCTGGGTTCCACACCATAAAGAAGCTGCTCCGCATGGCAGAGAGCGTGAAGTGAAAGAAGAAAGCAAGTAACAGGTATATGCGCCATACAAAGCTGCTAATGGTAGGTTGCATATTAGAAAGGTTTCGAATAATAGACCTTTAGATTTCTTGCAATTTGAGAAACATAAAAACGACCGATCTACTCGTTTATAAAGCCTAAAAATTCTGGATATTTTTGTTCGAGAAGTAAAATTCTGAATAGATTAATACTTTAGTATTAGAAAATATAGATTTCAGATTATATATACATATGTATTTTCCAAAAAGAACGACCTGCTGGATCCATCGTTCCCACGACAGTGGGATCTACGGAAACCGGAACGGACCCGGATTTTTATCCGGCCAAGGACTGTCAACTCGGCAGAACTCTGCCGTTACAACAACAACAACAACCTGCTGGATCCACGGTAAGTTTTGACTGCATGATTATTATATAAAAATTTCCGATTCCTTATTATTACTGGAGGATAAAAAACTTATGCTGGCTGAAATTCAAATTATTCAACATCTTGCTGTTGGAGCGGTCCTTGGTCGGATAAAAATCCGGGTCCGTTCCGGTTACGTAGAGCCCACCGTCGCGGGAACGGTTAGTTTACATCTTCTATTTTATTTCTGTGGAAACGGAAATTTATTGGAGGATCGTTTAATTTTTATAGAAATTTTATACAAAGCTGATCATTCTCTGATATGTGACGTAACGAAATAGCATATTTGTGTCGTAAACTTTATATATACATATGTATGTATGTATATAGTGTCTGATTCTAAAATTGATATATGTATATATAAGGGGTTATAGCTAAAACTTTGCAATAAATAATAAATGACTGTGCTTAAAATGGCTTCCAAGTAGAGTGTGCGTTGTAAATTTTTATGAAAAACACGAAACCGCCGGAAAAAACTTTACGTGTGTGTATTTAATGGCAGAAGGCAAACAATATACTCAATATTAAATACTCTATAAATAAAAGGGAAACCGGATTTTGGTAGAAAACCGACTGTAATGCGGCCTAAAATATTCCGAAGCTGAAGACAACGTTCAACAATTGCATAAGTCAAAACATTATTATTATTTGGAGAAGTCAAAGATGTGGTGTAGAGTAAACAAGCAATAATAGCTGCCATTTCATCCAGAAAAAACAATGGATAGGAGTGGTTTGTGGGCCGGTGGTATGGTCATTATTCCTTTTTTCTCAAAAATGATGCCGATGAGAACGTAATCGTCAATGCCGCCGTTATCGCGCCATGATAATCGATTATTTGTTCTCCAAAATTCAAGCTCATGATCTGGGGGACATTTGGTTTCAACAAGTCGCATCAATCAATGGATTTATTGAGAGAACACTTTGGTGAGTAGATAATTTCACTTTTTGGGCGTCGATTGGCTATTTTGATCGAGTGATATCACACCGTTAGACTTTATCCTGTGGGGGATTGTAAAGTCTAAAGCCTATGCGGACAATCCAGTCGAAATGCTCGAACGAGTAATTGAAAATTGGACTTAACGGACGGACTATCTGAGACGTAACCCTGGCTAACATTCGATAGAGATAACTTCAAAAATGGTCAGATTTCCGTTCGTGATGAGCCGTTGCTCTCCAAGCTAAATATTTATATTACATACTCGTAACTTATGCTAAAGTTAATACTATTCATTTAATTGTTTAGAAATCATAATGGCCAAAATATATTTCCAAATCATATTAAATACAAATGTGCCATAAATTCATATTCTATAAAAATGCAAAAAAAATATATTAAAACCTAACTAACTTGACGTAACGCACTTAATCCCGAAGAACTTGTGTGACTTTGGCGAAGAATTTTTTCTTCTCCGGAAACTCTGTGTTCAAAATTTGTACCACCTCGAGTAGATTATCATTTATTTCCATTTGCTTTTGTACTAGTTGATTTAATGCGGTTTCAGAGCGTATCTTCGGTGAAGATGTGCCCAAGCCTAAGCGCCGATACGATTTCGCGCGATTCTGTTTGCGTACGATGCGTTCTAAATTGTAATGTTTCAACAAAAGGATATCGTCAATCTTCTGACGTAGTTCCTCGTCAAGCGCCTTCTCACGTTCAATGTCTTCATACAAACGCGTTAGATCGGCACGTATACGTTCGTTATCACGTGTGACCTTCACGAGTTGTTCATCGCTAATAACACTAATCTCATTTTGAATTTTCTTCAAGCGATTACGTAAGTCGATAACTTTTTGTTGTGACGAAATGCCAGTCTTGATGCGCTGCGCTTTTACCTCAGCGAGCTTTTTTGCCGATGCGGCTATATAGATATGTTCACGATGTGCCACACCGTGTTGCAAATCTTGTGCGAGCTTCTCTTGTGCGCGCGCCAAATGCTGGAAGCGTATCTTCATGCGATGTATCTCGGATTTCATATTGCCGATTTCACTGGTGAGACTCGTTTCGTCTTTGCGCCAACGTAGCGTCTCTTCGATTAGCTTATATTTAGTCTCCCACGACAATGATTCGCGATGTTTGTCCAGCACCAAGTCTTTGTAATGATCGATTTCATCTTGCAGCTCATCAATTTCGGCCTCCATATTTAAGACATTCATTTCATGATCCTGAAAACGTTTTGAAGAGGCATTAGTAAAGCTTGTCCTATATTATATCGGGTTGAGTATGTCCCCTAGTGACTTACCTTCAACTTAAGTACTAGCTCATTGTGCTCCATCTGGCATTCATTCTCCTCGTTGTCGTGCTGTTGGCGCGCATTACACATTTTCTTATTTAAGAGTTCTACTTTGGTCAAATAGATTTGTATGTCGTGTTCGAGTTCTTTTGTGGCCTCTTCCTGCTTTTCAAGATCTACATCGATTTTCAGCGATTTTTGCTTAATTATACTGAGTTCTGAAATATTGATTCACGATTAAAATTTTTGTGGAAGCGATTGAATGGGAAAGCAGATTTCTTCCAGGTTAACGATTCGGAGTTTTCTGTCAACCAATGATAGTAGATATTGAGGAAATGTACGTGAGTATGTGAGTGCATTTGTTACAATCCGCATTCTATTGCTAAACTCAATTTCGAGACCATAGAGTTGAAACTAATTATCAAAGATACTCAATACGTCCGCTGCAGAAAACGAACCCTCAGTGATATAATTTTCAATGAAAGCCATTTTTGTACGACATATTACATGGAATGTTGTGGAATAACTGTATGAATGAATGTAGATAAAGCGAGATAGGACCGTTCTAATTGTCGACTATATCTTGTGATGGATTCCAAGAAATGGATGTCGAGTTTTGTGATTGAGATGGACACTCTTAGCGGAGATGTAAAGTTTGCAGCTGGCAAGTATTGTTAAAGGGCTTGTTAATTTTGAACGCATGTTCTCTAAATGACCAATGCTGTTGTCTGTAAGTCTGTATATACCTTCCTTAAAACTGAGTACTAAGTCCTTAGTTCTGGCCTTGTCACATATGTCGGGTATTCCTAGAGAGGCTCCTAACATAACCAATTCGTCTGATTTTTCGAGACTGGGAGCTATAATTAGAGGCAAGTGAAGGTGACCCGTCAGTGAGCTTAATGATCTCCTACATTTATTTATTACGTGGAAATTAACGATAAGACTAGCAATACCGTCTGACAGCTTGTGTATTTGGTATCTTTCTGTGCCCTTCCCCAGTTATTCAGTATAACTCCATAGGTCTTTTCTATGCCTAGTATTTCCGATTAGAAGCTGTTAGCTGAGTTTCGTAGACGGATAGCGAGAGAAAGAGATATCAATATCCTCGGAGATACCCTCATCTCTACACCGCAATACATTTTGAACCCGTCGGTATAGATTGAGATAGTAGCCTTCTCCCCTACTAAACCTCTTCTTTATTCACTAGAGGGTATTCCCACCTGGAAGTAATCTAACCTTGGCAGGATATATTCTGATTTATTTAGATAACGAGCTGGATCAGGATTTTTTTTATGTTCCTAAATCTACTTTAACAAATTGGTGTATTGGATGTTGGAAAAAATGCATTAATATTGATGTGTAGTGTCTGAGCTAATGTGATGATCTCGTTGTCTGATTGGACTATTTTGATCAGAATACAAATCTATCGAATACTAAATTTTTAACACAAGAACTCGTTGAACACAATTACACAGGGTTAACATTTCAATATATTATTTTGACTTCGTCCTATCAGTACTTACGTTTTTGGGTGACCTGTATTTCAGTAAGTTGATTATTGCGCTTTTCCGATAGATTAACATAGTGATTCTGCATCATCACCCAAAATTGCTGGAGTTCTCGTATCTGCTGTTCGGTAGCTAATATGCCACGCTCCAATATCTTGATCTGCAATCAGAGAAATTCACACAGTCAAGTTTTTTAATAACTTATGGTAGCTATTTAAGTACCTTCTTTGTCTGCACACTGTTGGCCGCTTCCTCGCCCATGCGGTTGATTTCTTCCAGGCGACTTGATAAGCGATCAATCTTTTTCATTTTGATATCGATTTGTGTTTCTAACGCATGCATCTCGGCTAGAATCAATTCGGCGTTATGATCCACACTATGTAATTTCTTTTCTAACTCCTCGTTATCTTGATTCAATTTCACTAATATGCCCCGGTAACGCTCCGTATCCAACAAAGTGTCTGAGAGTTGACTTTGAACTATAGCCAAGTTTAGTTCGGTACCCCTGCGTGTTTCCTGTGCTTCGCGCAAAAGTTTCAAGYGATACTGACTAGCTTTGTCGGCGATCAATTGATCTTGCGCCACCTTTAGCATGTTCTCTTCCATTTGATATTTCTTGGCATATAGTTTATCGCTCTTCCATTGCATTCTACGTAATTCGGTTTCCAAATTGGTACCCTCACGATTTGCTTCGATTAAATCCTTCTCATTTTGTTTCAACCAAAGCGGCAATTCGTCGAGTTTCACTTGCAGTCCGAGCAATGTCTCCGCTTGTTTTTGACCTGCGGGCGAACATTAGAGGCGGTTCAGTTGCAGTTCAATGTCTCTAATAATTCTGTTTATACTCACATTCACGTTTAAGATTTCCACAATCGGCCAGGAGTCGCGTTTTGAAAGATTCCAATTTTTCGTTTTGTTTTGTCTCCTTCGTTATCTGCTTTTTAATTGACTCAATACTCATTGTGTTTAGTGTAATAGATTCTTTCTCTTTGCTGAAAAAAGAGTGTTAGGTTAGGTTGGATGGCTGATCGAAGATGTGGATGTAGTATGTTTTTTTTCTTTTGTGAAGCCTTAGAAAAGAAGAAATCCCGTGCTCGGACTTATAACTTAGCAAAACGCTTAGTAGCCAATACACATTTGCATAGGCGTTCAGTGTCAACTCCCTTTAGTTTGGTGGGATGTCTGAAGGTATGCGCTCCCAAGTGTTTAACGCGGTTAAGCTGGCTAGGTCATGTCATCCGAAAGGATTAAAACATTACAGCTCTGAGAGTATTCGACACAGTATCGGCCGGGGGAAGCAGAGGAAAAAGATCTCCACTCCGTGGGAAAGACCTGGTAGAGAAGGACCTCGCTATACTTGGAATCTCCAATTAGCGTCAAAAAGCTAAAAGGAAGAACGATTGGCGCGCTATTGTTAACTTGGTTTACGCCAATAAATAAGAAGATAAAAATGTTGTGAAGATATTTCGTTACATAACAAAACTCCTTACAATGACATAATTTTGTTCGGTCAATTTGTATAGAATTTGTATAGATAGTAAGCTATATAGGTCCGATCTCAGCGATTTCAAAAATTGAGCAGCTTTTGGCCACGACATTATACCTCCTGAGTATGCTGGGGTGACACTCAGCAGACATAGCTGGTGAATTAATGTCGCAACTGACTCCGTCCCGTTAAAACCATGGAAAGTCTTTGAGATAAGTGTGGCTTGAAAAAATTTCCTCTATGAGCTGGTTAGTTCTGATATGTACCTATCCTACTTTTCGGGAGACGGATAACGGTTCGGATTGGGCAGCCTTTTAAGGACGAATTATTCAGAAGAAACACATGAAGAAAAGAGGAAGCCGAGAAATGTAAGGAGGTCGGTAAATTTATACCTGGGAGCTTAGTATACAATCTCTCGCGAAGTCTATTGAAAGGATCGGTCGGAAGAAATCTGCTGACTACGGACAGAAATAGGGCGGAACTGCTAGTACGGGCAGGGGAACCTCTGTCAGAATTATAACAATATTTGTTAGTACACTAGGGCTGGTGTGCGAAGAAGCGTTAGTGGGAAACTGAAAGGGACGTGACTCAAATGTCAACCGAGCGCATTCCATTGAACCTGACGTATGCGACCGCATTAGGAAGGATGATTTTTTTGAGTCACTTTGGTACTTTGACATTTTTTTTAGAATTTTACTCAATTTCAAATTTTTCTGTTCTTTAGAGTTCTTTATTTTTCAGAAGATATCAAACCATTCGAAGCAGTTCCAGTTATTACCAGCAGCAGGCCTGATAAAAAAATTCTGAAGCCTTCGTATAAATTATATATCTTATAAATATGTATACTGTATGTGAACTTATAACTCACCCCATAGATTGTTGCGCTTGATAGAGTATTTTGTCACGATGCTGTATGGCTACAATCACCTCACTCCAGGCTTGGGTTAAGCGCTTGTGCTCAGTTTGCAGCACCTCCAAGTCAGTATTGGCATCATTAATGCTTGTCTTTAGCACATCGGTTATGTCGCGCATATCTTGCAACTCGCTGCGCACTACCTCGACTTCATGCTCCTTGCGTTTCACCTCGACATCTAGATGATAGAAGAGCATATCGGATTTCTTCTTGTCCTCGGACAGTTGCTTTTGCAACTGTGTATCACGATGCACAATACGTTTGGCATTCTTCACTTCGTCTTTCACCTCATCGGCCCAGTTGCGTATGTGCCCCTCCAACGTGTTCATATTCTCCAATTCGACCATACGTTTGTTGTATTTTTGCTTTTGCTCCTTTTTCGTTTGCAAACGCTTTTCGTACTCCGCTTTGAGTTGCGTCACTTCACTCTCCATTTCCACACGTTTCTGCATGTTCGTTTGTATCTGCTGCACATAATCTTCCAACTGTTCATTTTGCCGATTAATACCCTGTTGCAGATCATATAGCTTGGCGCCTTGCTCTTCGCGTGCCGCTTCCTTCAGCTTTAATTGGTATTTGATCTCGGCGATTTCATTCTTGAGTTGTTCCTTCGTACGCAAAAGATAGTCCTTTAAATTTGCTTGAAATTTCTGCAAGAGTGGGTGGTCCGGTGGCAGGAGTGCTAAACGTACTGGTTCCGGTTCGTCGGGCTTTGGTGGCTCTGGTAGGCGTGCAAAGTCACATTCGGAGTGTGTATCATTTGCGCGCTCCTGTTCGGACTCCAAACGCGGCTCGGGTCCAGAATCGATACCCGACGCCGGCTGGGCTGCCTTTTCGATTTGATTTTCATCACTCATCATATTGGCAATCGGTTAATTTTTTTCTTTTCGTGTAGATTTATATAAAATATTTGTATATATTTCTAAGCGTTAATAATTCACACAAATTGTAAGCGTCTTGAAAAATATATTTTCTCGTTCGTTTCTGTAAAGCGATTGATATTGCAGTTTGTTGCTTTGGAAATTCAATTTAAAGTATTTTCCCTTCATAAACAGCACCCAGTATGAGTTGCTCGTTGCCATAGCGCTCGAAGTCGACGAGTTGAGTGTTTTTCGTACGCAGAGATTTGAGCATGTTTCCAAGTGTTTGCGTGTTCATACCCATTTTTTTGCATGGTTATAGTTTGGGTCTATATTCACACGGTATCTGTGTTAATAAAAGTCGGGAAAGGAAGTTGTCCAGAGGAGCTATAATTTGCTTCGCAGCGTTGTGGCCTGTAAAACGAACTGGAATTTACTTTTCGAGCCATATTTTATCACCAAATTGATACCAAATTGATAACATTAAAAAGCAGAAATAGAAGTAGAACGCATTAACTACACTGCTTTACAGTGCTTTGGCTGTTGTAGATGTAAGATCAGGTTTTTATATACATACATATGTAATTATTCATAAAGTTCTTAAAACTATTAATGGTTTTGTAAGAATTGCTTTATCTTTATTTTCATTGCGTCTTCTTTAATGGAAGAAGTTCGATAAGCAATTATCCGTTTGAAGAACAATAAACCGGCGTTGCCGATGGATTGTCGGCCGAGCTAATAAATACGGCGACGAAGAAGTGATAAGGAGCAGGCATTGACTCCTTATTGGAATTTAAGTGTGCTCTTCCCAATCCACAAAAATGGCGAACCCACAATCCGCGCCAACTACTGTGGAATAAGCTTCATCAACATCGCATCGCACACCGTCAACAAACTGATAGGACCTTTTCAGTATGGTTTTAGGTATGGAACAGAAATTAACAACTGACCATATATTCCTAATGCTCCAAAGCTTTAAAAAGACCCATGAGAAGCGGATCGACACACACCACCTCTTTGTCGATTTCAAAGAATAAACATTTTTTGGAATTTATTTTTTGCAGTTTATCTCTTTTAAATGTTGGGCGCGGCTACGTCTCAGATGGTCCATCATTGAATCCAATTTTCGATGACTCGTTCGCGGATTTCGACAGTCCTAGATCTAGGCGGAAAAATGTTTAACGGACCGGCCCAAAACGTGAAATTATCTGCTCACTGAAGTGTTCGTCCCAAATGTGGTAATTTCGGTTGTTCACATAATCATTGGGCCAGAAATGGGCCTCATCAATGAACAAAATGTGGATCGAAAACCTCAGATCTTCTTGGAACTTTTCAAGAGCGAAGCGATGTCGTTTGGGTAGGTCGAGCGACTTCAATTCTTGCACAAGATATATTTTGTACGCTTTCAATTTGGAATCTCGAAGTAAAATGTGCCAAGTCGTTCCATACGTCAGTCCAGGTTGCTGCAAACGGCGCCGAATAGACTCTTCACGGTCTTTGTGTACACTTACAGCTACACTATATTTTCTTCACTGCGTGCTTTACGCAGTCTATTCGAGTGAATACTATCCAATCATGAATGCTAGGCCTCAGGATGGGTGATGTTGTTGCGAAGAGTACGCTCTGTAGGCCGATTATGTTGAGCATAAATTGAGTGAAGCCGGCGGAACACACTCCTTACAGAATCTGAATTTTTGTAAAAAATTTGAACAATTTGTGAATGTTGTTCAGTTGTTCAACGTTGTTCAATAATGAACAAAAATAGCATGGCAGCTAGACACGACTCACGCATGACCTATCAAAAAAGGCTATTGAAAAAAGTATCTCTACAGGGATCACCCATTATAATATGAACCTGTAATATTTAATGACAAATACAATGATTTTGTTGTTTTATCATAGTAAATATTATATTTTATTTTTGCCCTTTTTCATTTATAAAACTTCAAAACGTGAATGCGTTCATTTGTAAAATTTTAGCATTTTAATCTATTTCACATTTATTAATTTACATAATTCCTAACTACAGATGATTTTATACTTTGGCACTACGTGGTTTTGTATATAAATAAATATAGGTACAATACATATATACAAACATACATACATATATATAGTATTATATATACAAATGCAACTAGTCAGCTAAAACGGACTTTATATAGTATTCTCAATCATTATCCCCACAAAGTTCTCTTATTTTTATGCGTTCATCTTCGAAAACATAATATTTAAAATCATTATCATTTTCTGGATAAAATTCATGCGCTAAATCTTCAATTTCCGAATGACAGACGGCTTCATTGAAGGCACCTAGGCGATGTAAAATTTTCACCATCGTAAAGCGCTTCTCACGCACTTCATGGCGCTCTTTGTCATAACGATGCAGATAGGATAAGGGCATCTCAGCCGATATAGGTATCCTCGATATGGCCAACTGATCGGTTGTCTGTAATTCCATCTCCAAATTAGTACGCTTTGTCAGACCCAAAATGCAAGCGACCACATAGAAACAGGCGGCATTCGCGGGGAACGCGCGTATAATGGTAGAATTGAGACCACGGAAGAAGAAATGCAAACCATCTTTATTATAATTTCGGACCGCACAATTCCAGGCGCCTTTGTACACGGGCGCTGAACTCATACCATCTGCTTGTAACAGCGTCTTAATTACATCTGTGGGATAGGATACGAGCCATGAAGCGATACCGGCTAAGCCGCCGGCAGTTAGAGCGTGTGGGACGCTCGGTTTTTCTTTTAACGACATAAGCCATTCGTAGCTAACGAAGTAGGCAGCGAAACCTTGAGAAGAAAAGGTAATTGTTAATATAACTTTCTTAACATAACTATGGACCGTTGAAATTATATTTATGTATTATTTTGAGAATTTTATCTATACTATATTAAACTATCTTACGATCTCTTCAAATTATTTTTGAATTTTGAACAATGGACTATTTATCTAAGCTCAGCCGGTGGTAAACTTACGATTCATAAGCTCATATTCATGTTGAGTTAATCTGTTTAGACTTAACCTTAAACAATCTACGGTCTCCTTAAACTATTTCTCAGTTCTGAAGAAATCTTGTGACTTCTGGATTTTTATTTGACCTCGGTGCTAAACTCACGCCTTAAAATCTCATCGTTAAGTTGATATGATTATAAATCCTGGAAAATTGTCTTACAGCTCATCTGTCTCCCAACGATGACTAAGGAGAGACGTCAAAGAAGAGTTTTAACCAATGTCTCTCGTATTCCATCGTAAGTGGAAAGAAAATACGATTTTCCTTCGAAATTGTCTGCATGGTTACAGATGTAGATCTGCATGTCTTCATTGCAGGCTTCCAAACATTTCTGTGCTACTCGACTTGGTCTATGAGTTTGATTATATCGCTTGCAGGCCTATTTACCAGTGTCTTAACTTTGTTCTTATCGGAACGGCAGATTACATTCCGAAACAAATTTTGAGAAAAAATCGGATCCGTTTCGATTACGTGTAACTCACTGCCATGGCAGCTGTAAGCTTTGTATTGTGATACTTCGGTGAAATAAGATTGGTAGTCCTAAGTGCTTAACGCACGTTTTGTGTGTTTAGTGGAGGTATGAACTGAAGTTCCTCGGGAATATTGTATGTATTAACCTCAATATGAATTATTTTGTCTATTTTCTTTTGTACAATATTAATTTAACAATAAAATAGTTCCATTAGTATTATCCGATTAACCTTACAGTCTTTGAAGAAAGTTAATACTTATTAAGACTATTCTATCTTCATATATTTAGCTCGAATAATATATTGCTACTTAAAAATACAATTCACCCACCTGGTACATCTCTGAGCGCTGTCATTCCCAAGCCACGAAAACCACCTTTAAACCCATCTGTCTGTATTATATGTCGTATACATTCAATAGGACTTTTATATTGAGGAGCTTTTGGATCCATATGTTGTAATTGCATACGCGTCTTTGCCAATTCCATTGGTGAACAAACTATACTCTGCGCAAAACCCGACACGCAACCAGCAATGAAATGTGAATATAATGAATTTGAGTCTATCATCTGTCGCTGTACATTGCCATATACACCAAAGACTATGGCATTAACAACACTTATACCCATCAGTGGGCTGGACATGCCGCGGTATAAACTTTTCACGCCATCCGTACGAACTAGCGACGATATACAATGAAAGGTGCCACGATATATAGGGTTCTTAACATCCTGCATCTGTAGATGAACTTTAACTGTATCGAATGGATGACCGACTAAAACACCTGCACAGCCTGGTGAGTACAATTGAAAGAGAAAATATATAGTGAAAAGAAAAAACACGTGATAAGTAACTCCTAGTTTCTAATTAATTATAGCATTCTTGTTAATCATCGGGACCTAATACTAAATAAACACGTAACAAAAAATACCTATTATTTATTAATCCCGAAGAAATTATTCCGAGTACGTTTCATATAATATAGATAACTAATGAAGCGATCGCGCCTAAAACTTGTCGGGAAATACATGGTAAAAAAGAACGGGGAGAATTCATGGGAATCTTTGTTTTGTGCCTTTTTTGTCCTTAGATTTTTTAAATTTTGGATTTTGTTTCGACTAGGATTAGCGTTCTTGATCCTCATCGTTTTTTTTTGTATTTGCTCAGATCTGTTTAGAGATATGGGAGAGTCATTTCATCGAAAGTATTGTTTTATAAAATCCATGACTTATTCTACTTTGTAGCCAATATATATGTATATATAGTAAAGTCCAGTTGTATTGACATTTTCAGTTGGTTGAGTCTTGATAATGGCTAATATGACTTAAACTTTAAGTGATCTACCCAAGCGAATCTTTGGATTGATGAGTTTATTAATTTCACTACTGTCTTGCCTACTTTTGAACACATACCTTATAAAAACCAGGGAATATCTCAACTTCTATGCCATTTAGTTGGCTAAGTAAGTAATCTGGACTTTCTTAAAGTATTCACTATTCGTAAAGTCTACAATGGAAGGGAAGAGATGTCAAATAAGAATTTGAAGCAGCATCTCATTGCGTAAGACATAATTTCTTTTCAAAACGGCTTTTAGGTCACGTATGTAAGCTTGCTTTCGTTTCATGAAAGGCGAGGCTGTTAAATTTG